AAATTACAAAATGAATTAGTTTTTTTATTTTAATATTTATATATATGTATGTTATGTGCATGTGCTTGGCAAATAGTAATTCCAAGCAAAATGTTTTTTTTTTTCGTTTTGGCTTTAAAACATGAACTATTATTTAGGCAAATAGTTTTGCATGGTTCTTACAGATTATTATTAATTTCTTCACATTTCAAATCCATTAGCCTAAGAAACAGGCAGCCAGGCAACCAGGGAAAGTGTCCCCTTCTCACCAATAGCCACTCAAGCAACCCCAGAAAGTGTCCCCTGCTCAGTAATAAACACCCAGGCGCCCTCATAAAGTGGTCTCTTGCTTTCTAATTATCACCCAGGAGCTTCTCAAGCAAGTGTCCTCTGCTTCCATATAAGCGACCAGGAACCCGAGGAAGATGACCCTTGCTTGCCAATAAATGCCGCAGGTGCTCCAGGAAAGTGGCCACTGCTCGATTATTGGTGGAGTACATAGCCATGACTTGCTAATAGAGGGCCAGGCTCCACCGGAAAATGGCCCCTGCTTACCAATACATACCCAGGTGTTCCAGTAAAGTGGCCCCTAATTAACCCATACTTTTCACTTTCCTCAGTTTTTGGCAGCCAGGGACTATTTTTCAGGTGTTGCTTGAGTGGCTATTAGTGAGAAGGGGCCACTTTCCCAAGTTGCCTGATTTGCCTGGATACTAGTTAGGCAAAAAGCTTTTGCCTAGGCAAATTGTGTTTTAAAGGTAAAATAACTATTATGCCTGAACAATAGCTTTTTATCTGAAATTACTATTTGCCTACCACATATATATATATGAGAATTCGCAACATTATATTACTTTTGCATTACATAAAATTTTAACTATATTAGCATTAAACTGTGATGTTTTAAAAAAAAATGTAAATATATTTACAGGGTTATTCACTAATATGTGAATTGTCTGGAATTTTTTTTTTTTTTTTTTTTTCCATATAGACATTTTAGCTGACTTGAAGAATTTTTCAGTCCAGCTATAATGGGCTTAAATGTTAAATTCACTTTGAATTTCCAAGAGTGGACTTTTATGGGATAAAGAGTTTCCTTTAGGAAGTCATTTGAAAATGTATTTCGATTTATTTGTTTTGATTAATTCATTTTTTTATTATGTTTAGCAGTTTTCTTTAAATAAAATGTATTTAAAAATGCAAAGGTTTCTATGCAGCTCATTAGAACGCTGGGAGCTCTTTGGCAAATCACACACTTTGACGGTCCATGTACCGTTATTGGTAACTAAAGGCAGCTTCATAGTACAAATGCAAGTGTTTTTTTTTTTTTTTAAACTTGCAGTAATTACTGAACAAGTGCACATGAATTCTTCGTCTAAGTATTTTATAAATAAATATGTTAAAGCCCCAGGATTTGATAAGACATTTTAACCACATATTTAATGACATCTTGGGCAATGGAGTTTAATCTGAGACCACACGTAATTTCCTGAAATAGAGAATATTTCATGGGCTCAAATGTTTTAAATGGTGTATATTTGTGAAATTGATTTCACAAAGAAATGACTGGTAAAGCCATACTTGACTGTCTATAAATTTCAACGGTTGATTTCCACATAAACTGTACTGGGGTTTTTCATGAAACCAGAGATTGTGGAGAACTAACAAGCGAATTGCAGACAAAAAAAAAACACACCAAAGCTCAGAAGTCCAACTAACTTTGTCATTTATTTTGCTTACAATTTGCAATTCTCCTCAATGTCTATTTTAGTCAATTGAACTCTTCCTGTAGAGGTGCAGCAATAAACATGAAAAAAGAAACAAAAAACACGAAACAAGGATGCAAGAACATACATCACTGGTATGTTAACAGAAATGTATAGATTGTGATAAAGTGTAGCAATAACAATATACAATACACCTCTCAATGTTATGAAGCACTTGACTGATTCATCTATCTGGATGATGTGTAAAGTAATAAAAATCATAAGCCTATTTATCAATGATATCTGACCCTTTTGTAGTCCACGCGTTCTGCATTGTATTGCC